AAATCTATATTTTCATAAAATGATAAAAAATTCCTATTGTACATTTTCTTTATTTCTATTTATCTTAAATCTATCTTTTGTCAAATTTATCTATCTATCATTTTTTCAAAATTCATCTTTCTATGTATTTTTTGAATCTAATTTTTAAGACAAAGAATTATATGAACTTTCTAGAATCTAGGAGGAAGATGGTTTGAGTTTAAAAAAAAAGATTTGCTTCATATTTTTTTTAAAAAAATGTCCGATTCAAAAAAAAAAAACGTCGGATTTTAAAAATTTTTTTTAATTGCAAATAATGTCGCTATTTTTAATATATTAAGAAATATATATTTTCTTGAATATTTCTCGAATGTTCAGCTTGATAAACGAAATTTATAAACTTTTTAACTTATAAATAAATTGTCAATGTCTATTCAAAAAATGGGTATCCATTAAAAATAATATTTTAAATTTGATTTTCAATCACACATAAATATATATATATAAAAATATATATTCATATTATAAATATATATTGTTTATATGTCCATATATATATATTCTATAAAATATAAATATAATCCATTTATTTGATAGAAATAATTTGTAAAAAAGTTTTTCCAAGAAGTAAATCTATATTTTTTTAATGGTTTTATTGAAATTTTATTTAAGTTTCCACATGTCCTCCATCATTAGCAATACAAAGGGTAATACGATTTTGCAGTTCACGGAAAAACATTTGCCAACTGATTTACAGTAATGCCTGAAATCACATTAGTTATTTTAGCTATACTTAAAACTAGGTACATTAAACTTTATAATATTTTTTACAGATTATTTCTATCGCTAAATAAAAATTCTGTTAAAAATTTTTAAAGTACACATGAACTTTATGGACACCCTGTATGTATATATATATATATATATATATATATATATATATATATATATATATATATATGTATGTATGTGTGTGTGTTTTAAACTTTTCGTAAAAAAAAAAAAAACATTACGATATATAATCCGGTGTTCTTATTGCTTGATATTTTTATTTTTAACTTAATAGTGTTCAATGTTTAATTTTTAAAATTAACATTAAAAATAACTGATTTAAAATATGTTCCAGTTTTATTTTTAAGTAATTATACCATTTTTCAAATATTTTAGCAAAAATAACTTAAATTTGATTTTGTCATTAAATTAAAAACATTTTTCCATTTCATCCTCAATTTTTAACTTTGGAAAATATAATTATTTTTTTTAATTTATATGAGTTTTTTAACTGCAAAATAAACTCATAATTTACATTATATACAATTATAGAATTTTAAAAATGAATCATCCAGCCTTTTCTTTTTTATATCCATAAATACAAATATTAAATATATATATATATATATATATATATATATATTATATAAATATATTAAAAAGCAAAGGATGAAATTTTTTTTAAAATTTTTTCCCGTGATGCTGAACCATCGGACGAGATTGTATTTAAAAAATCAAAATCGAAAATGTTCGTTCTAAAAAAACAAACTCTTATTAATTTTTATTAATATCAACATTAAGAAATAAATTCAGATTTTTTCGAGAAGATCAAAAGAAAAATAAATATACATATGTTATTTTTTTTTACAATAATCAATGAAGATATATATATTATATAATATATATATATATATATATATATATATATATATATATATATATATATAGTAGCGTCCAAAACTAAGGGACAAAATTTTAAAACCTAATATTTGTTAGAAATAACAACTGTGAAAAGCTGAAATTTTGACAACTGGTAGTCGTTATCATCCATAATAACATACTAAAATTTGAATCATTTGCAAAGGATAGAAAAAGAAATTATAACAATTATTTATTTATTTTCAAAATAGGATCGTCCAAAAGTAAGGGACAAAATTGAGAAAAAACAATGTAAACAGTATGCTATATTCAAATTTTTTTTGATCCTCTAAAGAATAAGTCTTACTTAGTCATTTGTAAACGTTGCATCAGCCGGCACCATGGCGAAACGCCAAAAACTTGATTACTCTGTGAGACAAGCTATTGTGAAGCTACACAAGGAAAAGCACACCATTAGAGAGATTTTAGAGAAAGTGAAACGTTCCAAGAGTGTTGTAGGCAGGGTTGTTAAATCCTACAATGATACTGGCAAAATAGTTAGTGCTTTTAAAACCGGCAGACCCGCAAAACTTCGGCAAGAGAAGATCGAATAATGCAGCGTATGTCATTAAAGGACCGTTTTAAGTCTTGCACAGAAATTAAAAGGGGTTATGAATAGTACCTCATGTGTTAATGTGTCAAGACAGACTGTTTGTAGACGACTGCAAGAAATAGGGCTGTTTAATCGAACCCCAGGGAAGAAACCACTTGTTAGTTCGAAGAATAAGAAGAAGAGATTAGAGTTTGCAAACAGGTATGTAATTTGGACATATGAAAATTGGGCAAAAGTATTTTTCAGTGATGAAAAAATAAGTTTAATTTATTTGGAAAT